TATTCTTATACGAAGATAGCACAGGCAACCGTTGTGAGTTAATCATTTTTGCTCTCATTTCTTATTGTCGTGCATCTCTTAGCTATATTTCGTCTCATGTTCATGTTCAAAATTATTTTATATGATATCAACTGTTAATTTCTTTAGGCATTTGATAATTAGTATTTTATCGAGATGTTTTAGCTCGCGGTCCCGGTGCGATAGGAATGGAACGTCGTAATAAACCAAATCCTGCTTCAGCAAACAGTTCAGTAGCAGATTTTGCAGACGGCTGGCCACCGTCTAGTATTCCACCTGAACCAAACAGCCCTTCTCCAACTGTCGATTTTCAAGTAATTTTTCTGTTTTATTCACTAGATTGAGCCGATACTGCTTTTAGAGCTATTACACTTGACGTAAAATTTTCTGAACTTCCATAATTGGGTCAAAAGTTTCCATTGAATATGTGACGAGTATTAATAGCTAACTTTTAGAGCAAAAAAAATTCATTAGACAACAATGGCACCTCTTCGTCCTATTATAATTGGCCACCAAGTTCAATTCCTCAACAAGAAACGCGTATTAATGCTTCATCTACCTTACCTCTGGCACATAATCCAATTTCTGGTTTAATTCCTGTAAAACAGTTGCCTATAACTACAAATAATTTCCTGATGCCTCGAGGAGTAAATTCTTGGATGGTAATTTTTATATTTTTATATTTTACTGATGTATTTTATTCATTCCAGTCAGCGATATTTGCAAATTAAAGTTAAAAAGCTGTAAAATCAAGTAATTTTCGAATGTTCTTGCAATTTATCTTCCATTCCTTTCCGCACTGATTTTTCCTATCATAGTGAGAATGGTTTTCGCTCTATGTTATGACCAAGTTTCTTTTTTTTTGTTTTCTTTCCTGATTTTTACATTTGTGGCAGTATTAGGTTATTCACTATTTTATCGTCAACATGAATACCGTAATAATACAAGTCTGTAGAGTCAGACAGCCGCGCTGTCTGCTGCTCCACAGTTGCCCCATAGTGCATTTCCGTTGTCAGCTGTAACTCGACAACGTTTGGAACCATTGCTTGATCCTTCATCAACTCGTTTGATTACACAGTTAGACACTCCACCCTTGGCATCCTTGCAGTCAGCATTCGGTCAAACGATTCCTGCACTTGGTCGTCAGTCGCAGCTCACGTCGCCATTGGAGGGGATCCGTCCTGTTGGTACTACTGGAATTATGGGTGAACATCATTATATGCCCATTGTAAGTTTTCCGTCTTTTTTTTCTTAATTTTTTCAATAATTTCTCTGGATCAGAAATTACGTACCTACTTTTATTCGTAACAGTCATCTGAACAGAGTCGCTTCGTATGTGTGAAAGTGACGGTACTTCGTACAGAGTTTTAGGTAGATGTATCGTAGCACCTCTTCATGTTTCTAATATAGTCATAATGGAGCATTTTCTCGCATTGCAATGCTAAAATATCCACTACCTTCAGACATTCCCTACAATGTGGGTGCAAACTCTTTCAGCTTCAAAGTTATTCTTCTCTTGAAACTAACGTTGCCTTGTCTGGTGGGATAGTATTTCCGTATCATAGCCACATTAATAAATCAGCTTATTCTTCCACATTTTGTATATCTTTGAGTTTTCTTTCTATCTTGATACACAAGAGCGTTGTATGGGTTGCTGATGCGTTTTAAATTGTTGGATTGTCCATAGCTGTTCTTAATCCTAAAGTAGAGAATAATAATTGCAAAATACATGTTGTGAATCTCCTTCTGCTTCAAAATCACCGCCCTCCTGATATCCATAAAATAAAATATAACAGAAGTGTAACCGTGAGCTAACATTTGCTCATTCTGACGTAACGGAAGTTATGAGTTACTATTTTTCAGGGTATGCCACCAACTACACGTTTATCAAAAAATAATGCAAATGCGTCAGATTTATCTCTTCGTTGTTCGGTTGGAGGTGTAGGATCAAATCCTGGACAATTTGGTTCTCCTCATGGCTTTTGTCTGGGACACAACGAAGAAATTCTCATCACCGATACCAACAATCATCGTGTGCAGGTTTACAAAGTTTCTGTTACTATTTCATAGCTTTCAAAGGAGATTTTCTATGGGTTTTTATTGTCAATAGGTTGTAACTGAGCATTTTCTGCCACAGTATTGTGAATATGGGACATTTATATAAAACAATATCTCTATGAGTTTTTTGAAATTTTTCCTTCGATATTTTATTTAAGTTATTTTCATATCCTATTCATATTTACTGTCCTAGATCTTTTCGAAGAAAGGCGAATTTATTATGCATTTTGGAGTTAGTGGTTCAGAAGATGGTCACTTATTTTATCCGAAAAAAGTCGTAGCGTTTAGGTCTCGTATGGGAGAAGGAGGCTATTTAGTGGTAGATAAAGGTGAAAGTAAAGCTCGACTACAGTTGTTTTCTAAAAGAGGCGATTTTATTCGACGTTTACGTACGTTCTGTTTTTCCGCTCATCATATACATACTTGACATTCCCTTTCATTTATACTAATCGGTTATGAAATATTTTACATTCACTATGTTTATGACTTACTGTCAGTCTCATAAATTCTTTTTTTTGTCGGAGTTTTTTCAATTTTAACAATATGCAAACTTATAGAGGTTTTTATTTATTTCTTCCTTTTTAAGACTCTATATTTTTCGTTGTTTCATTATTACGACTAAATTTTTATGAACTGAACTTTGAAAAAATTTTCAGAGACACCTTATCTTGATTATGTTGCGGCGTTGACGGTAAATGATGCATCGCATATTGTTGTATTTAGCAGCTCAGTAATGATGTTTATTTTGGATATTGATTTAGAACCTCTTATTCTTAGGTGGAATGACTGCACTAAGGCTATAGGAGAACCATCAGATGTTGCTGTCTTTCGAGACAGATACTATGTTACGGATTATAAAAACCATTGTGTTGTTGCCCTTAATAATGAAGGTTTGTGTTTAAGCTTTTGAGTTTTTGAAGTTGCCATCAGAACGCCTCCATATTATCAAAGATGAAAAGGGAGTAATTGATGACTATGAAGAAAAGAAAAGCTCATTCTACAAGGGGGGTTGTTCATAAATATGGAAAACAGGAAAAATGAGAAATAAAGTTAATGTTTTATTTTCATTTTAGGTGAAGTTTTGTGTCGTTTTGGTTCCTTTGAGACTACTCCTTATCCTATTGGTGTTGATGTTTCAACAAATGGCGACGTATTGGTGGCAGATTCTCATGGCAATCATTTCCATATTTATTGTTGCACAATTGAAGGGCAACGATTACAAGAATTCGAATGTTCGCAGATGAAGGTTTTTTTTCTCTTAAAGCCATTCCGTGATTGAATTGTTCTGAACTTAATATTTACGGAGCAAGTTTTTAAGCTCATGCTTTTTTAATTAACAGCTCTAAATATAAATTCTAACATTCTTTCTAAAAACTTGTAGTGAATACTTTGGTATTAATTTGATATTCATTATAAGTTTTAGAAAAAATTTTAAGGTCAAATTTATTTACAAATAAGGTATTCTGCACTGTATTATTAAGTACTACATCTCTTTGTAGGTTTCTCGTTGTGTGGGACTTCGTTTAACATCGGAAGGATATTTGATCTCAATTTCGAAGCACAATCATACGCTACTTATCTTCAGTACAGTTTTCGTGAATCCCCCTTTACCGCTATGATAAAATAAGTTTGAACAGTAATTCATATGGACAATTCGGTTTTCTGTTTCTGAATCGAAAGCTGTGGTTTATTCATTTGGCTTTTGGATATGAGTTAATTAGTCAGTTTCAGACTATGGTACATGTAGCGGTGCTGGTACAAACTTTGCCTTATTACGCTTTTATTGTTATTTTTGTAATTTAAAATTGTATTTTTATTCTAAACCGTCGCAAATTTCATTTATGCATTAGCAGTTCTTTGAGCAGTTTTGAAAAATACTTGTGAAACTTTGTCACAGAATCTTTAATTTTTACCATAACTCTCTAAATATTGAGAACTTTTTCAAGGACATAGTTGTCGTACAATTGTCATAGGAATTTATTTCGAAACCTCAATGAAAACGACAATGAATTTAATTGCATGCTGATTTCTCTTATTTGTGGTTCTTTTCTGGGATTGATTTTTTCAGTGATGTTTGAGAGTATCTCGATGCGTGAATTTGATGCGTATCTTTTCTGTTGAATGCTGTTTTCGAATTCGTGGTCTTTCTTCTCTCTTCCACACTCTTGTCGTTTTAAATTTACTTCTTGTCAGTTGATCAGTCTGTTATTTCATTTTACTTGTTGTGTTAAGAAGCAGGTACATTTCATATGCTTTTCTTGATTACTTTGGATAATTTAATTCTTTTGGTTTTTTGTTCTTCAATGAAGTTTTTTCAGCTCTAGGGATATTCTGGTATTTTCAGTCCTTTTAATTTTTGTCTACTTTGAAGTCGTTTTGCCTTAAGAAGTGCTCATTTTTTGCATATTTTTACAACATTTTTATATGTTGTGTCTAGATTTATTTATTCATTTATATTTGTTTCAGCACTCAGTTATATCTCTTCGTGGATTGTAAATTGGAATATTTGTTAACCTATGGAGCTTTCGTAGTGCACTTATCAATATGTTCATTAGATTTTACAGTTGTTTATTTTGTTAATGAACAGAAATCTGTGCAACGTAGTTTGCAGAAAAAACATTTGTGTACAGAATACTTTTTTCCTTTTTTCAAGCATTCGAAAGATTTCTGTTTTATAGTAGGAAAATTACGGGTCTTAAGATTATGTTTCCATAGTTTGTAAAGATTTAAAGAAATAAGTGTCACAATTTCCTCACTTTTTCTGCATACTCTACGTTCTCTCTTCCAGATATAACGATGAGATTTTCAATTTGTTTTTTCCCTTCAATTTTTATACATCTAAAACTAAAAAAACATATAAGATAGCACTTAATTGGTATTTATTAATTTTCAAGTTAATTTCGAATGCACTGATCTCATATTCCAGCGTGTTGTCTTCAAATTTTTGCTTATTTGTTCATATTTTTTTGACATTGAACTTTTTTGTTTAATCTAATTCTGTAAGACTTCCGGGCATGCATGTTTTTTTTCTTTGTACTCGTGATACTTATAGTAAAGAAGTGGTAAGCGAATGTATTTGAATTACTGATATTTTGCGCCGTAAGTTATCCACTATATTTTTATATTGTTAATTTTTTTTAACATGTTGGCTATTATTTGTAGCACTTCCTCTTTCCTAGCAATTATTTCTGTTTTCGTCTTATTTTTTTGATGACATCATCTTTTTACTTCATGTGGAATGGTCCAGGCCAGTTTTTAATGAAGAAATGATTGAATTGACACGAGTGTGATGCGTAAGTAGGTTTCAGTCATTTTAATGTTCGGAATGTTCGGGTTTTTAAGAAATGATACTTTGCCGAGTGTTCTATCTAGTGACGGTTCATGTCGAAACCTTCATATGGTATGTCCAAATTTTTTTGTCTAAATATTTACAGCGAAATTCACTATAAACTGCCATGTGTGAATTATTATTATTCTTATCAGTAATGTTCATGAATATTTGTTGACGCTCACTATGAGTGTTATCTTTTAATTTCTGTAATCTCTTGAAGCTAAATTTACAAAATATCTGACTTTAAAAGGAAATGCAGACAATTCTGCAGTAGCCTAGTTGAGTGGTGTAAATTTGTAAGAGAATTTTTCGTTATCATAACGATAACTAAATGATTAATTCTGGATTTTCAATAAGTTTTTGTTAAAATTTTATTTCATAGGGAAGTGCAAAAAATTTTGATTACATGTAACAGGAAAATTTCTGATTGTGTTTTTGACTGTATTTCTAATAGATGTCTTCATTTTTCAATATAACGCTTATATTTATTTTACATTTCTTACATGTGTTGACAATCAGCTTTATTGAGTCAAGTACCACAAATTATTGTATCATCGTTGAATGTAGTTATTATTCATAGTTAGTGACCCGTTTTCCCTTTGGATTGCTCATCGTCTTTATTTTGGCGATCATTATTACCTTCCCAGTATTTATTCACAGGCGCATTCATATGTTGGTAATATTCGCTTGCTACATTTTTGATACGTTTCCGCTTTCACTACTGCTTTTGTGAACAATTAGAAAATGACTCTTACCAGTTTTTGGATGGTATGTTATCTAAATTAAAAATTAGGATTAGTGAAGTAAAACAGGCAAAATTTTGTATATCTCGATTATCTAATTGTTTGGAAACGTTTCAACTTCATTTTTGAAAAGTTTTATGTCTAGAGTTTTTTTAATTTATATGTGCATTGTTTTATGAGTAAGCACTGTTTATTATTTTCGTCTTCAAGAAACATAAAGAAAACTAATAAACAATCGGTAAGAATTGAGTCTGAATTGAATTTAATATCATATTTCTAGTAAATCATGCACTTATTTTAATGCCTATCCTCATTAGTAGATCGTTTGTTCACTTCTCCGCATCCCAAACATTTTGTCTTCTGTTTTTCAAGAAGTTGTATACATCTTTATTTCATATTCTATTTCTTTTTTTCGCTCTTAGATTTTTCATATCTTAATTTTGAAGACATTAACGTCCAAGTCACATATTAGACTCTTATTTCACCTGCATCATGAACATCATGTCTAATTTTTTTCTGCATGCTTTGGTTTTATATTCACAGCAAATATCTATATAGCCAACATTTTTTGCTTCTGGATATTTATTTTCTCTGTCAAATTTGTTCGCTTCACTCTTTTTCTCAGTACGCATTTGTCTACTTCTATGTGTAATCCTCGGCTAAATTTTGGCTCCTTCTCAATTCAAAACTCTAGACGATACATTATTTCAAATCTCTTTAGTTTTTGATAGAGTAGCAGAAAAATGGAAGTTAAGACAACCACATCTATTGATTTGTTAGTTTTGAAGTTCCGAGCTTCTGTTTTTCTGCGAAACTTCAAGGTTTAGATGACATTTCTATGGTCTTAAATCATTATCGTTTTTAATTCTAGGAAACATTTTGTGTATTTGCAGAGCAAATTTCGTTACCCGTATGACTATATCATCAGCTAAGATTTGTTAAGCACTTATGAAACTTAAATTTAAATTACTTCCAACCATATCCTTGGCGCCATTTATCTGTTGTATTTTATCAACTGCTTTGTAGTTAGTCTTTTTTTTTTGTTTTTTTATGGTGCATATCTTTCATTCAGCTTTGCGGAATTTTGGCTTCTGGGATTCTTAATTTTGTCTTTAAGGTCCAACTTTTTTCGCACCTTTTATGAGATAACAAGGTTTTTTATTTTTTGAAGTAAACATTTATTGAGTCCTTATGCTGTATGTATTGGAATCGCTGCTTCATTAACTTAGCATATTTGAACCTATTTAGTTATATTGCAAGATTTCAGTTGTTTTAACCGTGATTTTTTTGATGATATATATACATATATATATATAGCAAGTTGAGAAGTACCATGAATTTTATTATTGTTTTATCTAATTATTTATATATATTCTAATATTAAAGTTTAGCTCGGTTATGATATTTATTCACGTATATCTAAATAGTTCATATTTCCAGCTTTTTTCCACGTAAGTTTTCCGATTTTGTAAAAAGCAATCTTTACTTTAATTTTGCTTCATTCTTTTTTCCTACCTTTCTTGTTGCTAAATCACAAGGTTTAAATGAAAAGGGATAGAGGTGATTTCAGCAAACTTTGACAAGAAAGTACTTTTTTAACCTTAATTTTGTGTAGTCTTTGAGCACCAGGAATTTTCTGTAGTCATTGCAAGAATTAGTTTTCAGTGGTTTTTTTCTGTTTCAATTTATACTCGAGCTTGAGGCTATTGTCTTTGTTTCCCGTCTTGGCTGTTTTGTTGCTCTTTCTTTTTGAGTAGTTCCGTACAAAGTTTTTGATCGTCTTATCTGTTAATTAATATTTTTGTACATTGCTGTGACATATGCTTTCACTGAATAAATTTTTGTGGAGATTACACAGGTTCGATGAATCGCACAGGAAATTTTCCCTTTTTTTAATAGCAATTTTATATCGTCAAAGACTTGTTAGTAATTATTGAGATTGCAATTGCTTTGTGTTTAAAGCAGAACTATGCAATTCAGTTGCGAAGGTTGTCTCGTGTCAATGTTCATCGTCTGCTTACGACTGTAAGCCTGATTTAATTGAGGTATGCGATGGCGGGCAAATCTGTATTCTGTGACTTGTTGGCCGAACTTGACTATAAGTTTTGTGGGCTTGACCACTGCATCAGGTTGTGATTTTCACCTAACGATTGCCTTTAGGGATTCTTTTTGCTGACCATAAAATCTGCAAGTTTTGTGGTGAATTTTATTTGTTTTGTTTTTTGAGTTAGAATTGTTTTTGGTTTACTCAATATTAAATAGTTTTTTGAGTGAAAATTAGGGTGTTGAAATATAACCTGTTGAAAAGTATTTTGGTACTAAAGTTTGAGATTAGCAATTCCATGTTTCTTTTCCACATACCTGACTTTTTAATTACCACTTTTTCGAAATAATCGTTGGTGACATCGGTATCCCATTGTTTTCTCCGCAAATTGTTTTTTCCAAATTTAACTTTTATTTGGAACTAAAGTTATCAATTTTCAATGTATTTTGCAGTAAATTGCATGAGATCATCAAGCATTTTGTAACAAGCAAAAAGGGTGGTTCAGCGGTCGTTAGTGGACCAAAATCTTCGGGTAAACGTTCGGTTATATCGAAAGTTTGTTTTATTTTAGTGTTTTGTTTCTGTATTTAGTGATTCCATTATTTTTTATCTTTTGATCTATCTAATTTGTGTTCTACCTTGAAAACTTTTAATTTATTTGAAGAAAATAAGTATGGGGTGTGGGTGGTCAAAACTGACAAAACCTAATAGCCGTTGAGATTGAAGCAATATTTTTTCGATGAAAGGTTCGTAGGATCCTTTACCAGTTATTAATAGAGGGTATTAGTAATGAATTGAATTCAATTTGTTCAGATAGTGATGAATTACGTCGATTGGATGGAAATAATTTTCATTGATGGGTTGATTCAAGCAAGTGAAGCAAGTGCTCTGAAAACATTACAAACTCCGGATAATAATTCAGTATTTTGATTTTCTCCAGATGACACCTTTTTTCACTGGTTTTTTTTCAACCTGGAATGCTGAGATTTTTGTTAAACTTCCTGTCACATATTCATTAGTTATATTTGGTACTACGTTGTTGAAAAAATTAAAATAAATAAAAGCGTCGTTTTAGAAGCAATTAAAGTTTGTTGTCGTCTTCAATTTCGATCATTTTATTAGAGGTCGACAAATATTTCTTTATACCCTTCTAAATTCTTCGCTATCTGGACCACTTTTTGCTCTTTGTGTCACTTCTTGTCAAGTAAATCTTATATTCATCATATAGGTGTAATGTTCTTGTGACTAAAAAATTTTTATCTACTGCTGTCTTTGATGGAGATAAGAATCTTAATTAAGTAATCTTATCAGTTTTGTTGATTACAGAATCACATGGAATTGCTCGAAAAACGTGTTCGATCGCGTCTTTCTAGTTCATGCATATCGTTCGCGCAACCATGCTTGTCATTTAACGATTTTTCGAAAGCATTCATCTCATTTTTATATATCAATATGAACGAATATGAAGGACATAATAGACTGATCAAGGTTTTTATTGTCTTATCAATTTACCTTATCAGTGTACTGACTTTCAGTGTATGACACTCACAAATCCAGGTTATCTTCAGAAAATCGTCTAAGAGCCATTTGTTATGAAGTTTGGAGGAAGTTGTGATATAGACAGTGTTGTAGAATATTTTAATTGTGTTTTTTAAAGGTAGTAAATGACATTGTTAGTGATTTGGATTGATAAAGTTTTTGTGAAAAAAACACTGTAAAACATGTATCTTTAGTTATATTTGTTTACACGGAATAAATTTTATTTAGGAGTTTCTGTGTGGGTATTTCTTTTCGTTAACTTTTTTTTTCTCTCACCTTTACATATCATATTTTCTTCATCATGGTTTCTTCACAAATTTGTTGATTGTAGGCGTTTGTTGAAGACACCAGCATTCAATGTAAATTGCATGAAATATATAATGAAACAAGAAGCTACTGCATTTTGAAACAGATTACAGCTACGTTTTTTTGTTTCATGGATGCTGAACACATCAGTAGCATATCCAACCCTCAGGCGTTAAGAATATTTAGGGAAGCAAAAAGTGCTGTTGTTGCTGATGAAGATACAATGAAGTCGATAATTCTAGGTAAAAAATTTTTTAGTCAGTTGGGACCCAAAAAATTTGTAGGTGATGTCTTATTGATTAGGATACAGGTCCTTTTTGGATGAAAAATACTAGTTTAATTGGTCAAGTCTGATTTTCTCTGCATCATTTTTGATGATGTTGTGGTCATTTAAAGTTTTTACTATTATTTAACAGTATTGACAATTCTCAAATGATGCGCAAAAAAATTCGAATTCGGAACATTGATGTCAAAATTAAGAAATTCTCATTATTTTTGTATTTTCAGGCCTTACATTGCGACAGCTGTGCCTTCTTCTGTGTTGTGTTCGTTTAGTTCGAAACAAACGACGACAGGATTTTACATTTCGTGAAATAATATTAGGTATGTTTTAGGGTGAAATTTTGCAAAATTATATTCAGCATGTATTGGAGCGAAATGCTGGAAACAGAGGTTAGCATTGGGAAAATTTCGTTCTGTTTAATTATCTGTTTACTATTATTAATTTGTTAATTATCTGTTTTACTATTATTAATTTGTTGTTATTTTTTTCGGTTTTGAATATTGTGATTTCAGATTATCGTAAAATGGTCAACATTTATTTGCCAATGCTTAATGTAAAAGATGAATTGATACTGCTCAAAGAGTTGGATACGTTGTGTTGTTTAACAGCACTAGAAGAGAGAGATGAAGGTGGTCAGTTGTTATTTCGGAGGACGTCTTTGCAGGCATTGGTTTTTATAATTTTTTTTTCAAGACATCGCCTCAAATTTTATAACGTCAAAATAAAACATAATTATTCAACTTCTTAGCGTGATTTTCGGTTACAAAAAGTTTTTTCTTGATAACGTTGGTGGAGATCAGAATAGTATGAAGTATTTCTAGTTCGTATTGATAAAATGTTTCAGGTTGATATCGACTTTGTTTTGAATTGCTTGAAAGACTTCACTCCTTTGCCAACAGTTATAATGCAATGGTTGGATGATTTAGAAAGATGATTAAATCTTTTTTGTGTTTACGTCGGAACGTTTTTGCAAAATTTTGATTTTCATCTGTATACAACATGAAAGCAGAAGGATCTTTGTTATTTAAACATTTGTTTTCTCGTTCTTAAGGTATTTATAAGAAAATTTTTATAATCTTTTTTTATTTTTTATTTTTATAATCTCAGTAATCTCAAGGTCAAGTATTCCTTACTCAGTTTTCGAACTTCATATTATTCTTAGATGCAACTGTCATGCATTTTCTTCCTTCAAATTTTTGGATGTAATTATCTTAAATATGCATTCGTTGCAGGATTTGCATTCTTCCTTTCTAGTAATCTAAGTTGCTGATTATTTACAGAAATGACGGTTTTATCAGATTTTGTAGGGAATCTGACTTTATATCAGCAAAGAATGTTTTGATCCTTCTGAACTTTAACTTCTGATTTCTTCATAAATATAAGATTGCGCTGATTAGAAAGTTTGTAACAACTCATTAAATGGCTGATTGCTTTTGTTTTCCAGATTTAAATTGCAGTGTTACTTCTTTCTTTGGATTTTTGGAAACTCATCTCTGTGTTTATTCATCTTTGAATTTTGCATTTTTTGAAATTTTATAGTAATATTTAGTCCTTCTTCCGTATAAGTGCCTTTGTAATCTATAACATATTGCTTAGTAAATTAGATTCCAAATTTCTGTCTTTTTAAGGTCTCCAACTTTGTATTATGCTGCATAGTGAAAAAATTAATTTATGCGCTGAAATTGTTGGTGCTGGTTCTTAGATAATTCTAATCGAAATTTTGTTTGTCAGTGTAGAAAGTGATCGATTATATTTATTGAATGACTAGGAATTACGTATGCATTATGGTCATGTTGAATTAGCTTGTAATACATATTGGCGTCGATGTTCGTTGTTACATTATTATATCTAAAAGTATAATTAAGCTCGATCTTCTGTTAATTTGAGTTTTTTACAAGAGAATATCGGCACTTTTTGATTTTTGGTAGCTAGGTTGTATAGATTTCAATATTTATTGCTTTCATTTATTTCATTATTATTGAAGGATCAGAGAAAGCCCACTAATCCTTTACAGTGTAGAACGAGTACGATAATATCCAGCAGTTACATTACTAAGTCAGTCGATGCGACCTGTTGAATAATTATTTAGTTAAGAAATAAGTAATATTAACATTTAAATTTAATCTAGGTAGGCTGTAGTTAAGTTAAAATAGAGTAATGGATTCCGTTGTAATTGCTTGGGCTTCGTCGGTGAGTTCGGTGCCACGTGATGTGCTTAATTTGCTACTCTTGAAAGCATAATGATGAATGACGTAACCACCGATTATGGTACTGATGGCACATATATACTCGATTCCATTTGCTTTACGATTAATGAATTGCTAGTATGAAATATTTGTTAATAATTGCATAATTCAAATGGGTTTTAAAAAATTGGTGACTTCCATGTAAATAAGATGATACTATGTTATCTCAGCTATCGCTAAAATCTCTGCAGAAGACAGTTAACTGTCTTCTGCAAACGGAGATTTTAGCGTTAATGCTATCTCATAGTCCTTTTACATATTTATTGAGAAGATCTTCTAGACTTGCATTTCACACGTTTCATCAAAGTTGAGATATTGTTTAGAATCTTCAAAGATGCGTGATAAAATTTAATAATTTCAAACGTTTGCTGCATTTTAAATGTCAGAAGTGCGATGCTTTCAAGTATTTTACATGCATCGGAGGGTGATGCACTAAACCACAAAAAATTTTATTTTATAGTAATTAATATACTTGACGTAATTCCATGGTTTAGTTAACTGTCTTCTGCAAACAGATGATTTGCTCAAAGAAGAATTTAAATGTGGAAAAGTCAGTGATAATTAATGAAAACAGAACGCGGGAGAAAGAAACAGAAGTAAGAATGTTAGTCAATTTTTCTTTCATAATGTGTATTGTTCTATCTAGCTGTTCAACCACTGGAAGTTTTTATAAGCCTGTTTGTTTAATACATTGAAAATTATCAAGCTATTTGTGCTTCCTAAATTTAGGAGCATACTTCTTTTTAGACTGAGGAAAAGTTGTCACTGATTTTAGGTGCTATTATTTATCATTTTTAATTTTAATACTTATTTTTCAAGGTCCAATGTTCAGCCAATTCTACCACAAGAAACAACACGTTCAGATTTGCCACTTGTAGAGTATTACGCCATACATATACATGATAGATGCAAAATAGAATTGTTATTGCAAATCTTGCCATCTATGTCGGCAAAAATGAGTCATTTAAAGCGCGTTGAAAATGGACGGATTCTTATTCAACCTACGGAAGTAATGTTATCTCAGGTTTGCTTATGTTTCACATAGAATTCCAGTTTTAGCTTGCCAATTTAAATTAATATATAAAGAACAATTTTAAAAAAAATGATTACATTAACTGAAAAAATACTGCCTTGAGCCATATTCCAAAAGTAGACAGTATCCCTAAGCATCCGAAATTCAGTAAGTCGTACTGAAAATTGATCATTTTTGATGGGAATCAGAAAAGGTTTCATAATTTTTGCATAGAACTCTTATATTTTAAATTAATCGTTGTGTAAGTCTTTTTTTTAATTTTGCAATGTTGTTATCAAAAGTATCAATTTTGTATGCTCGAGAAATTCTCCTGTTACGTAGATATTCATTCCAATCTTGCTTCTTCTGTTGGTTGCTGTTCATTAATCATAAATTGTTTATGTTCCATCCACTATTCGATTAAAATGTTCCAGTTACTAAAAACACAATCAGTTTCGCATTTTTTTCATGCATTTTGAAGGAATTGGTGGAGAAACTGCAGACTGTAATCTCAAATGTTTGTATCATAAAAGTAAATGTTCCATTGCGTAAACCAATCACCAGACAACAATTTTTATGGACTAAGCAGTACTGGCCTACAGCTTTTCATTGTAACAAACAGAATGAAGCACTGTTAGATGGGACATTTTTTTCAATTCAGGAGCAGCTAAAAATTGATCATTTTTATTGGGAATCAAAAAAGGTTTGATAATTTTTTCATAGAACTCTTATTTTTCATCCTGTTAGTACATCATTTTATTCTTCTATTTGTTGCAGTTATTAATTTATGACATTTGATACAAATCAATTTTTGAAATTAAATTGTGGTAGTAGCTGTTGCCTTTGGTCTGTCGTAATGCTCTATATTTTATATCAATAATCATGCACTCGTTTTTGATATTTACTGATATTTGATGATCCTGGGCCTTATTGGTAAATTCACATTAAAAATTGTCATTTAGAGCTGCTAATATCAAGTCAGTTTTGATCATAAATGAGATAAACATCGCTGAACACGATTTTTTTATTATCAAAAATTTCTTTCGATGAATTCAAAATATCTTGTCCTTAACTTTTTAAGGTTGGTAATGGTCGTTCAGGTTGTATTTTTGTTGATCCAAATGGTAACGTAGTTGCAAAAAGTGGTGCTCGAAATACTCCACTCGGACATGCAGTAATGACTGCAATTTCGGATCTTTGTAACTATCATCGTATTGAGAACAGTAAATTTTAATGAAACAAATGTTTTTGCTTGTTTAAAAATGATTAGTGTACCATTTTCTTTTTCTATAGGTGGTTGTAACTAGCTACTGAAATATTTTTGCTATATTGCTATTTTAGTAGATAACTTTCAGCTTTCTTGATATTTGTTAGGTATCGAAGCTCATAATTGAAACTAGCTCTGAAGCAATGAGCAAAATAAAAGCTCTATAAAGATTAGAAGTGACACATGTTGTAAATATGTGGTCTCTGTTAACTTCATCTATTTGAGGAAAATGATAAAGTGTTATTTTTTAGGCAACGTTTCGCAGTATCTTGGTACAGGATACGACGTTTACTTGACGGATGAGCCATGTGCAATGTGTGCCATGGCTTTGGTGCACTTTCGTGTTCGCCGCGTGTTTTATGGGAAACGTACGTTATCTGGTGGTGTTTATGAATCCTCTTGGAGAATTCAGGAAGAAAAATCATTAAACCATCACTATACAGTTTTCCGTATCGATAAACTTTCCTGATTTCATTTTACTGCTTCGATTCAATGAAAAGAATGTTGCACCATTTTAGTTGAGATTATGTTTTTACAACTGTCACTGGTTTACTGTAACAATAAGATTATTAGATATATATAATCAACAAAATATTAGGATTGATATCATTATTCAGTAATTTAGAAATCATGAAATAAAGAATCGCAAAGGCAGTATTTGAATTTATGGTGCCTATGTTTGTTTACTGTATGCCAATAAATTTTCTTCATTACTGCTCCCCGTGGATAATACTTTTAGCGTGTTTCTCGATGTATTTATATATTGCATGTATGAATTGGTTAGACTTTACTTTGTTAATTTCATTAGTTTTGTGCGTGAAATCTTAAGAAACGGTCTGGAAGACAATTTTAGTTATTTCATTGAAGTGGCAAAGTTTAATGAAAAATTTATTGGAGCAGAAAAGATTGAGTGGTCATCATTCTTCGTTTAAGCAATGGAACTACATTTATCATACGTAATTCTGCATTAAAATTCTTGAGGCTTGGTTTTTATCTTTTTAGTGATTAGAGGTACTCAGTTGACTTCAGATTTTCTTCTCTAGTCAGATTCAAATCTTACCATCTGATGAAAAATGTCAGTAGCAGCAATTCCAAAAGAATTTTTGATGCTGTACGTGAATGAATTCAGCGGTTTATGCGATACAATTGGTAATGAAGATGTTATGAATTCGGTAGCTTTGATTGGGACGCAGTTGACATCTTACAAAAATTGTCTTATTGCTATTGATCTTCCTAGGCATCCAGCGTTCGTTTCTTGCATCCTTAGGTATACTCTACAGGTTCTGGTTTCTTGTACGTTCCTAAATTCAGTTTTTGAAGTTTTATCTACTTAGCAATCATAAAGGCTTCATTTTGCAATTCTTAGTTTCGCTTAAGACGCTAAGATCTATATTTTTTAAGTGTGATGAGATGAAGCAGCTCTTTTAAAGATTATCTTTTGTTGATAAGATTCTTTTTATATATTGAATTTTCAGTATTTTGGAAACTAAAAATTGTTTTGTTTGTTGCTCAACTGCTGATGCACTGAATGGCTATCATTCTGTAAAAGTTTCTTGCATTATATCGACAGTTTCTGGAGAAATCGAACAGCAACCTATGAAAATACACTCTTTGAATATTTATTTCCATCATGATGGATATTATTCTTTGGATACATTTGGTCAGGATAAACTATGTTATTTGATAACGACATCTGGCACATTGGGCTCGCGGAAGGAAATTCTTGTTCCACACAGTTGCATTATGCCTAATATTTGGGATTTCAGGTTACTACCTTATCCAGCATTTTAGAAATAAATGGTGCATGCTACGTTTCATCAATAGATAATTTTTTTTCGCTTAAAAAATGAAGTCTTTAGTGCATTTTTGTTGCTAATAATAAGTAATCATACCTTTTAAATGAGCTAATCGCTTGAATATCAATCTTGAGACATTTTTTTGGGATACGTTTTCTTTAATTTCACCATTTTATAGTCGTGATAAAACTTCCATTGAGTACATTTTCAGCCGAAGATTTCAAATAACAACTTTTGATACTATTCTTTTTGCTACATCTTGTTCATTTGACCCATTTGTTGTCGAAATTTTTTTGGCAGTTATGAATGGCGCAAAATTGCTAATTGTACCTGATATGTTTCGTTCCACCCCTTATAAATTAGCTGATGCAATTATGAAGTATGGTGCAACTTTTATTCAAGTTAGTTTCACTGTTTATATGTTAGAAAATTTAAAAGATGGATATCTAAAGTTTTTCTATGAGCTGACAATTTATTTCTTAATTTTGTTTGTCTCTTTAGTAAAATGTTACTTACGAAATGCACTTTTTTTTCTTGGAAGTTATAAGAGCATTCAATTTGATGTTCCATCTGTTTTTCTTTTTTTTTACTCAGTGATGCTAAAATGTTCCATTTTTCGATTTATACCCTTCATTTCAAATGGCATTAATGTGATTATATATCTGATTAAATTTCTGTTTTTTGAATTGTTTAGTTAAATGTAATAAAAAAGAATGACACGTTCCTATTCGGTTTGTTTTCACGTGTACTGTGATATGTTGCTCATGTTTTAGATGACACCTTCTCATTTAAAAATTCTTCCCGAAAGTGCTTTGGTCAGAATTTTTTCTGGTCAGTCGTCAGTGCGAACAATGATACTGGGTGGTGAGGCATTCCCAATGGATTTTATTCAACGTTATTATACTGATAACAAATGCATTAATCTATACAATGTTTATGGAGTTACAGAAGTGTCATGTTGGGCATCTTGCTATAAGATTGACTTGAAGTGAATTTGAATAATTTTGTTTATTTGACATAATTGATTATGAACTTTGTCGATTTAAATATGATAAATATTTCAGAGAAGAACGCGCGCAAATTGGTGAACCGTTAATGTCGACAAAATTTGATATTAGTAAAACTGGAGAATTACTTATTGGTGGTTCAAGACGATGTTATGTAAACGGGAAACTGTCTGGAGCGTGGTTATCTACTGGCGATATTGTTGAGTGTACTGAATTAGGGAGAATTTATTGGTGTGGTCGGACAGATGATCAAGTTTGCTTTAATTACAAAAATATAGTGATAATCTTGGAATAAAGTTTGTAACTAGAGATATTATTTACTGGAATTGCAGAAAAATTCAGTAGTGCACTCAGTTTTGTGTTTCCATGTTTCGTTATAGTAATCAATTATTCAAATCATTTAAGAGCATAAGTTTTTATAACTAATTTTAGTAACCGTTGAGTATTTCATTTTCAAATCAGTTTAAGTAGTAATTTAATGTGAATTACATACTTTTTATAGATGATAAAAAATCTTGACACATTATAGACTCTCAAAAAACTTTTGTGTTCAAACGACTTAAATAGTTACGCACATTCAAATAGTTCACTTCATAGAGGCATAAGATTAAATTTAAATTAGAAAATATTTTCTACCATCTTTAAAAAAAATATGTAATCTAGAATTGTGCAATCACTTCGACTACTTATTATATTCTGTTTTTTTATTTACTATTTGCAGCAAAAAATAAATGCTATTAACGTAAGCTTGTCGGAACTGGCTCGAAAAGTTGAAAAAAATACTAGTATCAAGTCTGCTTTAGCTTTACGTCGTGGTCATGCTATTTTATTGTTTATTCGTACTGATAACAATATTAATCTACAATCGTATTTATATACAAAATTTTCAATTCCGGGGATATTGATGATAGTTGTCGAAATTGAAGATTGGCCAATAACGGACAATGGTCATATTTTTGTTTTGTATTTCAGTGGAGCAATATTTCTTTGCGATTTAAACGTCATGCTTTGCTCGCTAATCAGATATTTGAACTAATAGTTCTGTGAAGCTGTTGAACAGTGTATTTATGTAAAAATATCAGAAACTAAAAGTTAATGTAAATCCTTTTGCAATCGAGAATATTTAATTAGTCTAGACAAATTTGCATTGAAAGGCTTAAATTCCTCTAATTGCCGCACTTAATGTGTTTTTAGTTTTTGTCTTCATAAAATAAGCGATTATTTAACTTAAATACTAAAAGAGAGGAATTTGGGTTCTGCAATAAAGTTTCTTTTTCAATTTTTGCAATTAATCACTCATTTGTGCTGATAATTTTTCAGGAAAAGTTGACCGTCGAAAATTAATGCAAATTTTCGAACAAAGAAATTTGGTTTTCACGATGGGGGATTTGCGTAAATTGTTTGCAAAATTTGGTCATTACATTTTTCTCATTATCTGTATCATTTACATAGTTTTTTAAAAATTTTTGTAAGTCTCAAATATCCTATTCCATCATTTAATTTATACTTTATGTTCTGTTTTTTCCAGAAATAAATTTGGAGCTTCATCAACAGATGTTATTCAAGAATCTGGGTTTGAATTCATTACATGCAGCTGAAATAGCTATTAAGACAGAACATCTCTTGAAGCATCACGATTTTCCAGTTTTTCAGTATCTCCTTTCGGACACAGGAACTGTCGCGGAATTCATTGCTGCACTTGATTTTCATCAGAATGTGCAAAGGAAGTGCACTATACATGGAAAGAAGATTGTGATCAAGCCTGTAGAAAATTCCACAAAAGCTTTACTTGAATGGGAGTTCAATTTAGGAAGATGTATCGACTCAACTCCAGTATTGGATAATGGGTACTAATTTGGACACGTTTTGCGCAAATTGCGTGATATTGCACTGAACTCTTGTTTTCTAGAATTTGTATTAGTTTTGTGAAGACATCGTTTAGTGTCATATTAGTAATTCTAACGCTTCATTATTCTGTAAAATGTTTCTGCTCAGAACGTTTTTAAATGTATTCAAAATAATGTTAGCTGTTTTAATTTGAAATCTTATTTTTTTTTATTTTATCTAAAAAATATTTAAAAATTTATTCTTTTTCGCAGTTCAATTTTTTTGGGCTCACATTCGGGACGACTTATTTCTTTATCTTCTGATGGCATCTTGAAATGGGAAGTTCAGCTCGGTGATCGAATTGAAGCAACAGCTTGTTCCAAAGGGAATACAGTTGCTGTGGGTACATATTTTTAAATTTTAAACTACCATCAAAAGTTAAAAGTGTAGACCTTGTGCGATATATTTTTGGTGCAAAAATGCTACAGCTTATCTCATGGTACAAAACTATTCAGTAAGCTATAGCTGTTCAGTTTCACCAGTTTTTTTACGGGCTTTTTTGCGAGGTTCATTAGTTTTTTTCATTATATCGTATATGCTCATTTTCTAAATTTTATCTTTGATGCATATATTAATTTTAAAATTGCTACAATAATCCAGTTTTGTCATTTGTTTTGTTCTCTACTTTTTTAAGTGGTGTATGTAACTCAGCTGATACTGCTCTTTTTTGTTCTGTATTTTATAAATGTGTAAAGAAGTCGATTGGACAATGAATATCAATTATTAGATCTTTTCTGTTCATTTGATGAACTGTAGAAAATATAGTATAACAAAATAATTATGAATGAAGGGGATATAATGAACAAATGATTTTTTTTAAGTGTTATTCTGGAAATTATATCTGTATGATGAAGTTTGCAAATCAGATAGCAAAAGCTTCTTTTTCAAGTTGTATTTTTTGTTTCTCATTTTATATGCATACCTCAGGTTGTTACGATGGCTATGTATACTTTTTTCATAATGACAGTGGGCATTTAATATGGAAGTTTGGCACTGGAGATGCAGTTAAGTCGACTCCAGTCCTTGTTAATGAAGGGCATGAATGTTTGTTGGGCTCGTATGATAAATTTCTGTATTTTCTTGATGTTCTGGTAAGTTATTTTATTTGTTGGAATTTAATTATTTTTCAGTTAGATATTTTTTGAAGTTCTGCTGGACGATTTATACCTTGAGTGAATTTTACTTAATTGAAATGTAAACTTTAAAGAAAGTTAAAGAGTCTTATAATGTATGGCTGTTATTTTCATGCTTTTGAGTAAAATATTAGTCATGTATCGTAAGTCTTCAGTTCTTGAAATAATCTTGAAAGCCAGAACCTGTTTCATTTATTTTAATTGTATATTTAATATGTGCTGTTAAAATTCCTTATCACAGTTGAAGTTTTTCAGAATCATAAAATGATTTGGAAAGTTATGTGCAATGGTAGTATTCTTTCATCACCGTCGCTAATTCGTGACATTGTTATATGTGCTACATTGCGAGGTGAATTACTTGCTGTCAAAATGGTTTGTTTCAGTTAATTTTTAGCATTTTTCTGTCTTTGTTCAAAAATTTCTTAGATGTTATAATAATGCATACTAAAAAATTGTTTTTGTATTCATTAACTTAAACTATTTGTTTGCCAAATCATATGTTTCTATCAGCCAGAAATCTGCATTTCAAAAGCTGTAAACTAGCTGTCAATAAAATCAAGCAGGAATAGATTATAAATTATGCAGTAATAAACTGAAGGCACTTAGGAACTAATAATTTTTCTTCAATCATTAGTTTATTATTTTGTATTATGTTTTCCAAGCCAATAAAATGCCGGAAATTTGTATCCACGAATTGATAAACAGACATATTATAGTTTGAGTTTGAATTTTCTTAATTTATATTATTTACTGAGCTCTTTGTTGATTACGCTAGAGAGAATGCATGTCATTGTCTTAGATTTTTGGGAAAAAGTGAAATCTAGCCATAATTAAGTTAAATGATTTTGTTTTTAAAATGCTTTCAGGAATCTGGTAATATGTTGTGGAAGTTACAGCTTGCTGCACCGGTATTTGCAAATTTAATTGTTTTGAAAATGGATCGTGTACTTGTTGTAGATGTCAAAGGAGTAATAACAATGTTTAACATCATGAATGGATTTAAAGTATGCAATTATTCATTTCAGCTCAATTGAATTTTTTAGTTACTTGTCTGCTTATATCCATACTATGTATCTTGTAATGCATGTTTATGTATTGTTCTCCGCTTTATACTGAGAAATTATTAAAATTTAAATTGGTAGTTCATTTTTCTAATGTTAGGTAATCTTCTTTCGACCGTATTACTCAAAGCTTCATCAAGTCCTTTACTAATTTTTGATGAATTTAAAAGTTTTGCCTAGCTTACAGTTGTGAGTTACCTTAATATGTTGTGATTTTCATTTTTTTTAAATAAGAGCTATTAGTGATTCTTTTCTATTTTAAGTAATTGCTTTTGGCAAACATATCTATGTAACAGCTTTCCTCTTATTCTAATCTGATAAAAATAAGTGGATCCAGTGCTATAAGTAAATAAAAAGTTACTAAAAATTTATTCCTATTTCTTCTCATTCTTCTTCACTTCTTCAGTGCAGGGTATGAGTAGTAAAAAGTCTGTGACGACCAACTTTCCTTTAAATTAAATCTCTATTTTGCAGAGGTTTGAAATTTCATCGATAAATCTGTTTATCATCATTGCACTTGAAAAGTACACTCGTCTAGGTTTAGTAATATTTTTCGCTAATAAAATTCCATTTTTTTAAAACTTTATCTCAGTTTAATAGCTATGAAAATGCACACTGCTAGCATCTGTTGGATATTTTTTGAAATGATTCAGAACTATATTATTTTGTCAAAAATTAGTGTTTTGGTAAATAGTTCGTTGTACATTTCGTTTAATTTGCAGTAAGAATTATATTAGAGTATATTCTATTCATTTTCTAAGATTCCGTCTATTTTTCACATTTTCGTGACCACCGATTTTTTGCTTATTTGCACAATGCACAAAAATTGCAATACTCATAACAGCACAAATATCGCATACTTTTTCTTCCTTTTCTATTACTTTTTGCTGCTTTCATCAGATCATTCTTCATGATTTTTATTTGTTTCTTGCACCACTGCACAGAATATTGATTAATTGAATTTGATCAACTTTATTTTAGCTAGCATTTGAAATTTTCAAGATTTAGTGCTCCCTTTTTCAACTTTTTCTCTTGAAACTCTTTACATTAACAATTAGTATTTTTTTTTTTAACTTCGATTTCCTTCTTCTTTTTTTGAGTTATTGAACAATAGCTAAAACTGTCCTCAAAATTAGTTTCAGATAGGAAATCAGTGAAGAAAGAAATATATAAAGACCATATTTTCATAAATGTCTCTCATTTATTCTAATCGAAGTCTGTCATCCTGGCATAAATCGCGTACTCATTAATTTCAACTGAAAGAATAAAACTTTTATCCTAAATACATGTTTTTACCACATGATTTAGCATCACTGATATTCTCGCTCACTCTAAATTATATTTTTATCATCAGTATTCTCTCTTTTTTTGCATAAAAGCTTTTCAAGAATCTATTTCGACTTTTGGAATGCTTGTGGTCAGAAGCATTTTCGTATTGCAATTTGGTTTGAAATAGACAATAACATAGGCTTTCATTTTTTATTCCATCATAAATTGTGTGCTCATTAATTTTAATTGAAAGAATCAAAACTTTCGTCTTTTTGAAATTCCCACAACGCAAATACTATTTTAGATGCACGAGCGAGACCTGAAAGAATGTGTTTTTGCTTCACCGATACTGTTTTCGGATAACAGTGACAGTGCAAGTAGCGTATCAGTAGTCATAGTGATGAGTCAATCATCATCCATATTCATACTACGAACAGAAAATCTGAAACTTCTTCAACATGTGCATATTGATGGAGTTGGATCGTTCGTGCGAGCACCAGATTTACTAGTTAATGAAGGACTGTTGTTTATTCAGGATTCCTCGGGTACTTTATTAGCTATGCAGGGTTTGAGTAGTATGTTAAAAGTCTGTGACGACCAACTTTTAAATCCGAAAATAGTTAGTATTTTGAAAGTAAATGAAGAAACTTTTGGTGGTGTAAAAGTCGTAAAAGTATCTGAAGAGAACTGTAACAGTGAGCGAAAATATTATGCTTTGATTGGAAGTCGTAATGATCGTTTACGATGTTTTTGTTTCTCACTGCAATGAAGCGAACGATGCAAGGAAGATAGACGATTGAGGGTGAAGACAAGAAGAGATGATTTCAAAAGGTAAATAAAGTGATGCTTTGTTTGTTGATTAGTATTTTTGGAAGTCTAGTTTATAGAAGTAAAAAAGAAATGATCAAGACAAAAATAAAGTGAGTGAATTATAAAATGGAAAGTAAGGCTCACGACGTAGAGATGACGCAAGCTTCACTTATTTGGCCAACCCAACAGCACAGCTGTTTGTTTACCTTTTCTAACATTGTATTGGAAATTGTGCATTTTTAATTTTTCTTCTTCTACTGTGTCCTCAAATATCTCACTGTACAAATAATAAATAAAGTGCTAGTGAAAGCTAGAAGTGAATTTAAGAGTGTTTGGAGTAGCCATTGGTCACGACTTGCTCATTCTTCAGAGTCTCTCAGATCAGGAATTCGTGCAACTCGCTTGTCCTAGTTAATATCTGCCAAACTGCTTTCTTCTTTTCAAACGTAGGAAGAGTATTGAAAGATCATTACTATCCTAATAATTAACTCATTGCTGAGCAAACAAACTGTCAATACAAGATTTATTTCCTCTGGGCAGGGATGCGTGAATAAATGTAAGTCCGGTACTCTACTTTTGCTGGACTGTAACTAAAGGGGAGTGGTTCGTTCATCCAGCTGTCCCGGTCATCGGTATTCTCATATCCTCTAAGGGCGGGAGTACTTTTCCCGCTGATTCCTCCTTTCATATCCATTTCTGTTGCACTGTAATCAGCGGGACAGAAGGCAGTCAGCACGGGGTATTTTCCAGGGGTTTTCAATCTTACGCATATTTATTCTCCTGTTTTGGTCTTCGTGAAAATTTCAATACAATTTGAATGATGCAGTGCGTACGGTTGACAAAATGTGATTTGCCGAAAGCTATACAGTGATTCCTCTAAACTCCGATTTTTTCATCTTCAAGTACGAATTTCCAATTTGTAAATTCTAAAATCTTGTTTGCCACTTTGGTAGTATTAGCAAACTAAAGTTAGTTATATCACTACTACTTACCTGACCTGTATGCCTTTTTTTCATTCTACATTTTGAGCCATGCTGACCAGAAAATTCCTTTAACCCCGCATACATGATATTTCCTAGTAAGTGTGTAACACTTGTAATAATTTTACATTTGTGTAGTAAAGGGCTCTTATTTCAAATTAGTACCAAAATGTCAAATAGCACTGTGATTCAAAAGATTCCAATCTTTTTACTAATTATCCTGTGAACGGAGCAAATGCATTAACCAAAATTTATGGAGTGATGTTAATATTAAGATATAAAGATAATGCTAATAGTCATAATAGAAAGCGAAGAAGCGACTGTTTGTTTTTGTGGCTAAAAATATGGCTGTTTAGCTTTCTCCGCAGACAAAGATTCTAAGCTGTCATCAGCCATGCTACAGATATCCAGTCTTGATGGTAAACTACAGCTTCTAGAGGACGCTACCACAGTCATTCCAAATTTGAAGTGTCCGAAATTTCCGTCGTTCCAACACCGATTTTCTTCTATCCCACTGGACATTTCATTACAAAAACAGATTGTTTTTGATTCTTGTAAGTGGAATCAGCAATCTTCGGACAGTGGTGTCTGTTCCACTTCATCGAACACTCAAGAAGGGAGTCTGGGAACTGATATTGCTTCTGAAAGTTTTCTGGTAGGAAGCAGACATTTGTTGACTTCATCTCATTTATGCTGTTCTTCCTCTATTACGTTTTCTTCCCTTAAAAAATGTCAACTTCAAAGAGAACCAGTGAGTAGAGTATCATTAAAATTGTCTAATCCCAGAGCTGCAGATTTCATAGCTACGTCCGATAAGTATAGTAGCATGGAACTGCAAAGTGATAATGAGATGAATGAGGTTAAGGGTCAAGAAACAACACTGTCTGAGAAACGAGCGCGTATTGAGCGACCCGAAGCATTGTATCCTAATAATATCAGTGCACGACAGACGTCTTCACCCGTATGTTTATGGACTGCTTCTACATTACTCGCAGATCAGGTTACCATTTATCTCTTCACCAAAAGTTAAATTTTTGCATTTATTTCATAAGTTTTAACTATTCATCTCATATAAATCAGACAGCATTTATTCCGTTTACTTAATATTGATAAATTTAAGTTACTCAAGAGATAAGTTCTAAAAATCTCCAACTTTAATTTTTTTATATTCATGTTTTCTGTTTTGTGTCGGAAAGTTTGAAAATAACCAGGAGCATTGAAGACTGTGATATTCCGTGCCAACGTTTATAATCAAAGAAATATTAATGTTTATGAGGTACAGAAAATAGTTTAAAGCTCACGGAAGAATGGTATCCGTACTACGACTGTCATGAATTATGCTACATATTCATGCATTAATAGAGGAAGGAATGAAAATTACTGGAGAAATTGTGTGTGAATACAATGTACTGCTTTTTTGCATTAATTTTGAATCTTGCTGGAAACAAGTAGTTGAAAAAAAAACTGAAAAACCGGAACGAAAAAATTGAAACCAGGAAATGCATTTTGAGCAATTAAATTCATTCTTGTTCGTTTTTTAAGTTTCGGTTTTTCCTGCGCATTCACTCATTCTCCTCAATATATCTATACAATTTCTTTGAATGTCCTTAGATATGCTATGTGCTTTGGAATACAAACAGTAATTTACAAATCTTGCATGCATTCAGAGAGTTGAGCATTTCCAAAGTATTAGAACCTTTCATTTCTTCAATTAATTTTTGTAATTACAGTGAATATTACTGAATGTCTTACATATTTCCGTAGTTTTTATAATAATTACGGTTGTTCACAAAATCTAAATTTACTGATAAAATAATTTTCTTAAGAAAAAGAATGCTTACAACAGCTGAAGCCACCTACCTTTTCGCTTCTCAATAACTTTATTGTACTTCAGAAATTATTAAGCAAACAACGTATTATTCTGGACAATGTCGCAGCAATGAATTACAGTCATTCGCGAGGGATTCTAAATATCACAAATGATATTGCAGTTATTACAAATGAATTAGAAACTTTTCCAACACTCTCAAAAGGATTACAACTTTTAGTGGATTCACCAACATCTCATCTCTTAATGCCATCACCAGTGACTGCTCAATATTCGACAACTGCAACTATACCACTATCGTCCTTAACTTCCTGGCAATCTTTTAGAGGTTTGATTTTAAATTTGTATTCAAGATTGATTGTTAACTATGAATTGTGCATCATAAGGTGGTCATAAGTTTAAAGTTATAATTAAACTTTTCCTCTAAAATGCTTATAAATTATTCAGTCTTCCTTGTTTTTTCTTATTTAATTTTTCAATCTTAATCACCTGACAAAGTAAAAACTATGTAAAGATCTTTATTCTTGTTTCCAATTTCTACTCATTCATTTTAATTTTTAATTTTCTGCCATAAATAACTCACAAAGAAATGAATTGGTATAAAAATATCTGGCATGTTTTCGATGCATACCTCACAAATCTTTTCGAACCAATTAAATTTTTCCTTTTTTGCAAAACACCTTTAACTGAAGGGTTGTACTCACAAATATATAATAAAAATATAAAAATATTTATATGTGTGGTACGAAATAATTTTCCATCTTTCTAATAAAATATGCAGAGACTAAATTCTATACCATGATATTTGTTTGAATCTTGTAAAAATACATCGTATTTTGCAAAAATATATTATTCTTTGAAAGGAATTAAAAGCTGAACAGCAGTTGTCGTCGCCATTTTTGGAATGAGCTTTACAGGTAGAAATGACCAATCATTAATCGTATTTTAAATATAGAAAGTATCAAATTAGGCTTTTACTAAAAATTATTTTTAAAAGTATTTGAATAAGGGATTAAATCTCACTAAAATTAAAAACTAAAGTGAATTTGATAACTTAAAATAAAATTAAGAATAAAGATAATAACGCATTTTATCTGCTTAATTACCTTATCACTTGAATTGTTTATTTCCTTCAAAAATTTGCTGAAAAGTTCGACAGCAGAAAAGTGATAAAATGCAAAAAATTAAGAACAATTTGAAGGAGTTTGGCATTTCCGCCTGAGGCGGAATTCACCTCTTTCTTCAACTTATTTTCTACCTCTTCTCGCCTTAATGCTCGAAAAATATTATTACAAAAGCAACTATGAACACATCCTCATGAGGAGGCTTTTGTCATCGTTTTCTCAAGTAAATCATGCTAAAAAACTGTGAATTCATCTTAATTGCGAAGAATAAGAAATTGCATGAAATGAAAGGAAGCGATTGATTGCCTCTTGCATTTTTCCTCAGTAATATTATAATTGTCTGAAAGTTTATCGGAGGATCCATTTTTTCCACAACACTTATCTCAGCATTCATCGCAATGTTCTTTAACTGTTTGCAGAAATGACAGCTTAGAAACTGTCGTATAAAATCTTTGCATCTCTTATTGTAATTGTAGTAAAATATTCTTTTATTGAACGATTAAAATTGCAAGACAGCATAGGTTGAAAATAATAAGTATGTTCATTGATTAGATAGTAGCAATAATGATAAGGGATGATAAGCATATCGATTAGTGCTAAAACGCTCCTGATATTACTGATAACGATGCAAATAGTAAGAAGGTTTAATGATTGTTGAGTTAATTGGCCAGATAGTTAGAGATAACAGTAACTAATATTAATTCTTTTTCAACAAATTATAGAGCAAGAGCACTTCGTGTTCTCAATTTTTTACCGAAATGAGTTAGTGCACATACTAAAAGTAATAGTTTAAATGAAATGAAATTTGAAATTGAAGAGGTGGAAAGAAGTAGAAAAACACGAATATAATGTGTATTTCAAATGTGATGTGAAAAAAAATCAAATAGTTACGGCAAACAAAGTGTCAGTGTCTTCTTACTTTTTGCTGCGCCAGTATGAGAAGATCTATAACTTTTCTTGTGATAAGTCATCCTTTATTTTTGAAATTAAAATGAGAATTTCGAACTGCCGGTCATTTATTTGTCTAATATTCATTGTTGTTAACGATTCTTAAAAATATTTTTCAGTATTTGCAAAATGAAAGATCAGTCGGAAATTTGAAATAATTAAATCTGACAAAAAGTTCATACTTCATTTTTGAAAAGTAGATCTGAAGTTAGCTTCTGTTTCGAGCCCAGTACTATTTATGCTTCACTGTTTTTGAATTCTTTATTAAGCATTCATTTATTAGCTGACCTTAAATCTTAAGTTGAAAGTTGTTTTTTACAATTATTGCTTTATAATTATATTGAAATATTTAATTTCCTTCATCTTAATTAAAGCGATGGAAAAAGTTTCGGATAATAAGTTTGCTTAAATTATAACAATAAGAGTGATAACATTTTGGATCAGTTTGATCGTGCTAAAATTCATTAAGTTTCTGTACCAGTTCTAAATCAAGAATAAATGCTGAGAGAAGCGCATCAAACTTTGTATACAATTTAACATTGACCTAATGACCTTGTTTTTGCATTATTTCTAGAATATGAAACAAATATCAGCTGATAAGTGTGTTCCGATTTTCGCATACATTTTATCAGTTAACTACTCCAGACGTTGCATAATTTCATCGTGAACTTTTTTCGGGACAAACGCATGAGGATTTAGGATAATGTCAAAGTTAACGGTAAAATGACCTTAAAAGAAGAAAAATCATCATTTTCCTTGATATGATAACCACTTGTTCTTACATTGGTGTCAAATGAAAGGCATACTATTTTATTTGAATTGATCAAAATAACATTAAGTGAATGTAATGAAAAAGTACTTACGCTCTGAAACAAAATAACGAAAGTACAATAATTACTAATTTTCTATTTTTACGTTAGTTCATACCTCTGATAGAATATATCAAAGAAATTTTCTTATAATCAAAGTATATATGAAACCGATACAAGTTAACTTTTGAAATTCGATTTTTGCGAAGAATCCTTGATACTTTGAGTACCAAATTTTTTGGTCATCCAAATACTGATGTAAACAACATTCGCAAAAATAAAATGCACAATTGTTTTTTTACAGTTTGCAGTCTTCATTGGTATGATGAAAAAGTTATAGTTTACTAAAATATTTCATAGAAAATAACAATTGCGCTAAACCAGTGATTAATCATATAAAATCAGTAAAAATGATAAATTAATATTTCATTTATAACTCATTAAGACTAAAAACTAAACTCTGTAAACATACTAGATGCTTTTTTAGTTGAATTTTCTGAATTCGCACTTTGCAGAGAACAATTCATTGGAATCCTGAAGACTATGAACTTATTCGACTTTATTGAAAATTATAATAAAACACTATTCGCAGGGTTTTTTAAAATTTCAGGATTTCCCTCAATAATAAAAGTGCCTCTTTGCAAATTTTTATGTTTGATATTCCTTTAAGTTTTTAGGGATTTAAAATATTCTTTTGAAATGTTTTATGGTATAAATTTTGAGTTCTGAACTGCACCCAAACTTAGCTGGTTTATTTTTAAAATGGAGTTTAAAACATTGATAATTTGTTTTTGGACCTGAAAACGTTCTCTTTTCGAAAAAATTATTTTTTGTATTTGAACGGAGCACAACTAAGTCTTGGTAGCTAATCTATTTTTGTTTCGCAAAACTATCATAATTCAATATTCTTTTTACTTAATGTTAGGCGTCAACTTACTGTGACTAGGGCGATGTTTGTTGAAAATCGCTTTTTGATTAAATTATGCGAATTACTGGATAACAATTACTACTCAAATTTAAATGTACATCGATCAAAACTCTTAACTCAGCTATATACGGACTTCAAATCGAGTCAGTATAATCATGAATTGAGAGCCATGTTTGAAATGGAGATACTATGCATTCACATAGCTTTGAATGCAGAGTATAAAAATTAGTATTGATATGATTTTATTTTCTTCACTGTTGCAGCCTTTTCTACCTTCTTTTCAGTTTTCCTTTTCACTAAGGTTTCCAAATTCAAAACAAAAATAATGGTATAAGCAGTTTAAAGGAGCAAGATTTGAAGTCCCACTTTATTATATAACCAAAATTTTATACATTAATTGACGCTTAAATTTAAGTTATGGTTTAGCATTAGGAAAAAATTCTCACGAAATCAAATCATCGCTTGACATCAACAAAATTATTACATTCTAAACTGAAAGTAATGAAGTGATGTTGATGGCAACATTTATACTGGCAAGTAATCTGTTAACTTTGCATAATTCTATACTTGAAATTGCCATAGACTTAATATTTTTTTAAACAAACAAAAATGGAAGAAAAGAATAGAAAATTTATGTTTAAACATATTTTGTGACTACCTCTATCAGTTTTTCTTCTTTGCTGACCTCTTAGTTTCTCAATTACTTCTTCATCTCGTGATCTACTGACTATTTTTCCTGCTTTTCAATTAAAATTTTGTAGTAATTTTGAAAAATATAACTAGTTAATGATAATTCGTGTAGTTACTTATGCATTCTTAATTTGGAAAGAAAAAATCTACTGTTTTCAAAAATTTAACATTTTTCTTGTACGAATTTGGCTACTGATCAATCAAAACCTGCTGATTCAAGTCAGGCATCTTATAAAATGAAGCACAATCATATTAAATTAGGTCAGCTGAAGTGAGAAATTTTTGCCTCATTTTCATACATTTTTTATGATTTAAATGTCATTTTTCATGTTGACAAATTAAATGAACAAAGTAAATTTGATTTGCTTAATTTCTAAAAATTACTTCGCAATATTGTCAGAAATTAAGTACTTATTATTCAATTAATGGTCTTTTCACACTTTTTTCATTGCTTTCAGTCTTAAAAATTTCTGCATATAAGCCATTCTTTCAATAAATACGTGTAGAGAGAAGTATTTTTTGTGTTCAGTCCATTTTTTTTGACAAATTCTACAGAAGCTCAAATTTTATCGCCATGGCTGTCAGCAGCGTTATTTTACCCTCATTCGACCACAGTGAACTGGTCAAATACGAACTTTGCTTTATCAGATCTTGGTAATTATGCAAAAATTGTCACATCCTTTCCTGCTACAGCGTTGTCACCTCAATCAACTACAAATACATTTCCTATAACATTTTGTGCAAATTCGCAAAATAAAACAACAGGTAAGTTTCTTTTCATTGTTTTTCCAAGTACCTTACCAAATCATTGAATGTATTGCAAATATTTGTGAACAAATGCAATAAATTTGAATAATTTTATTGGCAGTTAGAATTTGCGATAACTTCTCGAGCACAAATGCTTAATTTTATTTCCACCTTTTCTACCAATTATTTTTAGTTCAATTTTTTTCACAGTTTTGGTGCAAACTTTTCACTTACAGGAAGCAAATGTGTTTTCTGTTCTCCATTGCACATTACTGTTCTTTCTCTCATTTCGCATTACAACTTTCCACTATTCATGTTTGACATGAAAAAATAAACGAAAGATCTGTACTAAAACAAGTATGCAAAAATAAACTGTGTAAGAAGTCACTTTCTGATTTTTATTTTATTAGACACACTTTGGACAAGAAGATCAAGTCACAATGAGATATTTGCCACCTCTGCATGTCCTTCAGAGTCACCAAGTATTTTTATGGGCCATAGATATAGTGAATCGTCAGCTGTGACCTCTAACCATAACAATTTTAGCAGTGGAAGACGGAAAAGTCGAGAAGGTTATAAAAATTCTCAGACTGTTTAAAATGCTTGGCTGTGTAACCTTTTCTTAGCAAACATTTGATTGCAAAATTAAACTGCACATTGTTTTCAAAAGTATCAGTGCTCTTAGTGAACGCAGTAACAAAGTTTCAGATAAAAAATACATTGCTTCCATTAGTATAATAATGTTCCAGAATGTTCAATTTATATTCTTTCGCACAAACTGTAATTGAGTGCAAAAAATGAGGCAAATAGTGATCAGCTAATTATTTCTTTTTGAGGGCAAATAACTTATTTATGGGAGTTCCTATTACGTTTGTTGCAAGACAAAGAATATTCACCTAAATACATCAAATGGCTGGATCATAGTAAAGGAATTTTTAAACTTGTTGATTCAAAAGCTGTTTCACGTCTCTGGGGCTTACACAAAAACAAACCAGGCATGAACTATGAAACCATGGGACGAGCTTTGAGGTGATTCACTAATTTATCAGTACAAAAACTTTACATATGCAGTTTCAGTAGTTACAACAAAAGGTTGAGTTGTTTTTTCTTAACTTTCTAATTCACAGTCAATAATTATATTTCAGTTAACATTATAATCTTTGGCTTAAGAAAATATTACTTCAGTCTATAATTGGTTAATTGGTTTTTATGCAAATTTAATAAATCTCATACCTTAGCGCACTTAATGATTATGATTTTAAGATACTATTATCAACGTGGAATACTACAAAAAGTAGATGGACAGCGACTAGTATATCGATTTGTGGATGTTCCGAAAGAGGTATTTTCTTGATTTTTTTTTGTTTATTGCGGTGATTGTCTTGAAGTGTTCTTATTAAAATATGATTGAACTCATTTGCAATTATGAATGAAAGCTGCTTTGTGCTTTTTTCTTTGAATGTACTTCTCGCGCTTTTTTCTTGTTAGTTTTCGCAAATAATTCTGTTCACGTCATGAATCCTATTCATTGCGTAAAACAAAGATTAAATGAAGTGATATGTGCTTAACTTTTTAAGGTATTTGGATTAGGCTTATGTAAAAAGCAACATCATGTTACTGTTATCAGTAATACTGACAATGGTAAAAATTACTGCACCAACAATAACAAATGTCTAGAAAATTTGGGATTTGATGAAAGTAAAAATGTTGGAGACATACTGCCATCAGATGATAATCTCTCCACGAATATAAGGTGATAATAATGGAAGTACAAATAGTAATACTAGTGATCAGATAGATAGATTATTTTGCGCATAAAATACTGTCTTTTAACTGTATTCTTAATTTTTATTTTATTTGTTAATATCAGCACAATCATATTTCTTCAAAATACAAAAAATGAGATGATT